GGGATTATGTTATTGACTTTTATTCAAAATCCTAGAGCATTATTCAAAATCCTAGAGCAGCAAATGCTCTTTATTTTATTTTTGACTTTTGAATCTTTCTTGAATTTTGGAACTTCCTTATCTTTTTCTTTACTAAACCCTAGCTTCAGCAACTATGTCTACGTCAGGTTGGTATTAGAACTCGACGATCAGTAAGGATGGTGTTGTAGCGCAGTATTATAATATCAATTTTTGTACCCTAGATCAACAACCATACGTCCACACAAAGGAAAAGGAGGAAAAGTGGTAGCCTTAGCAACGTTTGATGCTAGTTCGCGAGAAGAGATTGTAGATATGAGGAGATTGGTCAAAATCTAGCTTTGCGTTTAGCGCAAATGGAAGCCCCATCTCCGGAGTATGACATCAAGGTAGATGAGGAATCCATAAATACATTCCATGATCAACCTCCAAGGAGAGAGGTCGATGATCGTATGAGTAGGGACAGTAGGAGGTGGAAACCGGTCTCAAAGTTGAGATCCCAGAGTGTTATGAAAGTTTATACGAGAACAACCATGGAGAAACTATGTTCTCACCAAAGTGGCTCTCAAGATCATCACGTTATGGACTGCAACTCACCACCAGTCTTTGACAAGAACCTGAATGAACATTTGGGTGTTGTTAAAGAAGTGCGTAATCACAACTTTAATGACGATCCAATTCGTAAAGAGGATCAATCAAAAGATCCTATAATTAGAGAGGATTTTCGGGATGCTCCTATTCGTGGAGAAGAATAGGGTCAATGTCAATGAGTTGTATCCAAAATATTGGAGGATGTTTCTTAGTCCTTAGAAAAAGTCGTAAGGAGAATGATGTTGATGAAGGTAATGATGATACCGATTTTCTTCTTGGAGTTTTACCTAAATATGGAGTATCATGTGAGGTGGCGGCAAAGGTTTAGTGATATTTTCCTATGAGGTTTTGGTTTGTGAGTTCAATATAGAAGGTGGCTATTGAATGGTTACTTATATAGTTCCTGATGTTGGAGTTCAACTTCAATCATTATTTTGTTTTGAGTGGAGAACCTTTATATCTATTCACTATGTGTGAATTAAAGGAAATCATAGGGGTAATCTTGAGCCGCTTCAAAATTTATGGTAGAGTACTCTCTGACGTGTTCAGGATCAAGTGTGACAATTCTCAATGGGCCCAAAGCGTGGTTAATGTAATGCCTGCGAGGAATGCAGTAAAATGGCACGTCTTGATTTCAATTATTGTCAAGGTAGGACACTTCAAAATTTTGCATAATATTAATGAGAATGCCTATAAATTGAAGTTTCCCCGCCAAATTTGCACTTCTTATATTTTTAATGTCAAACATCTCATTCCATATTATTGTGATACCTTCGACGGCGAGCCACTGGATTCGAGGGTGATTTCTTTTGAGGAAGGGGGGATTGATGCAGTTAGAATTATGCTCTTGAGTATCTAGACAAGAGAGATAAGTTCAAAGTTTTACAAGAGGAACTGTAGAAGGACAAATTAATCATCGAATCTATCCTTTTATATTTTTATTTATTTCTTGAGTCTTTTATTTACTTAAAGGCAAAAGTAGTAAATTCTATAGTCATTTATGTATTTTCATTCACTTAAAGTATTTTTATAATAAAGGGTCATGATTAATTTAGATGTATGGTTTTCTTATGTAATGGATGTACTCAAGCATAATGAGTGATTATATTATGGACTTTTATCTCTGGTTTTTAATATTTATCTATTTCTGGATCTTCTCTATCATCTTCTTTGTCAAACCCTAGCTTCAAGCTACTACGTATGCATCAATATCTCGATGATAATGGTATTCATTTTGTATTTTATTGCCCATTTGGTGCAATGACAATTCTTGTGTGGTAGGAAATAGAATTATTTTGGAGTAGAAAAACCTTACTCAATGACTTGGACTGTGTTGGAAGCAATCTTCCTAACAACTGAACAACCATTCATGTCACACTAAAACAACGTTGTCTGACAATCAATTTAGATTGGGTTGTAAAACTCCAAAAAGAATGGTCATTAAAGTTTCCATTCATTGACTGGAATGAATCATTACTACTCCATTTTTTGATGGTGGCTCAAACATAAACTTGAATTGATTCTATAATGAAGCCATAGCCACTCCCGAGCAAGCATTGAATTGCTTCCAGTATAGAGTGATCAACATGTTAAATTGTACCAGAAGACATGGGTTTCATTGCACGAGGAATCTTTTCAGTAACATGTCGCTCTTGCTTCACTTGCTATACCACCAAAATTAAGTCTTGAATCTATACATTCTTTGATGGATAGAACTCAAGTTTAAAGCAGTATCCCTACAAAACTAGTGTTGAAAAACGCGAGAAACTCAAGTTCTTGTAAGCCCGAGTATGTTGTCATTCCTCACTTCACTCTCACCAAAAATAACAAGGTTATGTTCCTTGTCTCCATTAAGGTGGTGATTAACGGGGTCTGGGAGATCTAATCTGACTAGGAATCAAGGATCCCTAGTAGATCTCAGGGATTGCCTATAATACATTAGACATGATGTATGATGGACATATAATTAAAGAACGTCAGTAAATGGAGTAATACAAGTATTAGTTTTCTTTTAAGCAAACAAACACTACATGATTCATGAGGTACAAATACAACAAAGTATTATGGGAGCACTTATTCATTTTGCTCTGGTATATATCAACAATTCGATTTCTTGTCATGTTTTCTAACCTGGGTTTGCATTTGGGGTTTCAAAATTCAGTTGTAAAGGATGTGAATCACCTTATCACTGTAAAATCACTGTTTCATGATAACCCTTCAAGAGGGTTGGAGATCACTTAGGTTACTAAAGCTGAGAGATATTGAGAAAACCTTTCTCTTGTCTTGGACAAGAGGGTAGAATGGAGGGTGGTTGACAATGTCTATGATTATCGTAAGAGACATGAGATTTATTTTAAGTTCTGCTGAAATACCCTTTCAATGTCGTGCCGACGACCTTCCCCAAAAACTAACTTCAAAAAAGTGAAATAGCCATGCCCTCTTGGTGGCAGCCACATAATGCTGAATATGTAAATTGCATAGTTCATAGTGTTTTCCTCAGATTTATCCTTGTTATCATATCTAAAAACCAAACCCTCATTTCTCCAGTTTAACAAAAAATAAAAATAATAATAATTTGAATCGCAAACCACCAATATTGGTCTTCTTTGCTTTCAAATTTCAGTAAAATTTCAACCGAATTTCCACTCAATGCTGCCAAAGGTATGAACAATGTGCATGGTTCGAATCCTAATAGTAAACCAGCAAACCACTTAGTCAGGATGTCTTTTATGCCATGAAAATTCTCGAATCTTATTTCATTCCCCTTGTGTTTTAATAAAGAATAAATTGGATTTTGGATTTTCAAAATTAGATCTCATTGTGCAATCAATGGAAAGTCCAATGCCAACCTTGGGACATGAATTGGTTATAGAGTTCTTTTTTGTATTCCATATTAGTTTTTTCTTACAGAGGAATAAAGATGTCAAACCATTTCAAAAAAATGTCTATAATGTTCAAATCAACCATTTTATCCACATAGTAGTTAGTTTTGAAAAGGTCATTTCACTCTAGTACCTCTTGAACTATTTCGTTACAAAATCCAAAATATCTCTATTTTAGAAATTCTAAATAAGCAGGGGTAGTTTGGTAATTTATGCTTAGCAATAACACCTTTGTTTGTTCAAGATTTCAAACCTAATATAAGACATTTAAGTATAAAACATTTGTAGGTCTTGGAACTTGGAATGTAATCTGAGCCAAATGATGAAACCCTGCTTGTTTCGAGTTCCAACCCTGGAACATATACCCTTTCTTTAAAATATGTTGTTTTGAGTTTGGCTTCCATAACACATGGGGGCACTTTGGTAATTTAGTCTTGTATGTTGAGATTTGGATTTTGATCTTCTTTAACAAATAAATATTTGAAGAGGTAATCGAATGAAATGATTAAATAACCACTTTAGTGATACTTGCTAAACAAGGTGATTTAACCCTTAATTATATTTGTTGAACTTGTTTGACCGTTTGAAGAAGTTTTTCTTTTCTAGCATAAACTTCATTTGATCATTCTTACATTCTTGTCCGACATAGGGGCTAGAACAAAACATAGGGGCAAAGGCCATTTGCATTTTAATACTACAACTTAAATATTGGAATCAAGGCCTATATGAACATCCATCATTGATACATATGTTCGGATGCTACAAAATGAACGGTCTAAATAACGTATTATAATGTAAATCATTTTTAAGTCTTGAAATCTTAATTTTTCCACAACCATAATGGTCGAGATGAAATATTTAAAGGTTTTTCCACCCATAACTATAATTTTCGGTGACTTGTGAGGTGACATTTTACTTATTTTTGATAAGGCTGTAGCCCAATAAAAACATTTTCTTACTATGATTCATGTAATCTCATCCTCAAAAGCACCCGTATTAACGGTTCCACAACTTCCTTTTTGTATGCGAATTAATGGGGATTTCGGGCCGTACCAATTTTATTAAAAAGCAAAAAAAATATTATACAATAAAGATCATTTTACAACTTTATCAAGGAAGACAGGCGACATCAAGGGAAAGTAGGAGACCCAAAAATCAAGTGGTCGTGACCTCCATACTATGGCTCTTGAAAGGGTGACTGTCCATTTCCAATGTTGTTAAGGGGACATTCTCCTGCATTATAACTTTCCTTGTCTTTTTTTGTTTTTTTGGAATGTGCAATGACAAGGCACCCATCTCGTTAAAATAAGTAAAGCTTCATCTCATAACTCATAGAAAATTGTAATTAAAGTATTAAAAAACCTTTATATCGATTATTTGGGTTTGAACATTATGGTTGTAAAAAAAAAATAAAAATTTTTAACTTTAAAAATAGTGTATATTATAACAAATTATCTAGATTGTCTTTTTCGTTTTAAAATCAAGCGATCATATATCTCTATCTTTTTAGTTTTAACATCTTTTTCAGTTGAGAATCGATTTTAGAGCCACTATGGATAATTTTCATGATGGAAAGTGCTTTTCGACGAGGATTTGAGATGAAGCTTTATTTTGTTTTTATAAAGGCTTGGATTTTTAGAAACTTCATCATTCGTTTTAGCCTTGGATTTATAGAAACTTCATCAATCGTTTTTTGTTTTTGTTTTTTTTTTTTTGGTAAATCAGTAGGGTAACTTTCCCTCGTTTGAAAGCTGTGCAATGTACCCCAACTCTGCAACTTTTACGGAAAGTTTAACCGGCAAGAACTCATGGGGGCTACAAATGCGAAAGGTCATCAACGCTGGTTCGCTGAGAAGAAAAAAAACTCACCGCCCCTCAGAAAAGCGAAATCCCCAGCAACTCAACTATCCATCTCTCTAACCCTTTCTCACTCAAAACCCTAGCAACTCCACCATCCATCCATTGCTACTCGCCCCAACGAAGCTCAACCCTCCAGCAACTCCTGTCCTCCTCGCCCCCAGGTCTATTCCCCTCATCGCTGCAAGCTAAGAGCTCAGAGAAATCTATTGTGAGTCCTTTTTAATTTTAATTTTAATTTTAATTTTAATTGTTAGAGCTCAAAAAAAGATAATCCCAGATTTAAATGAGATTGTATGTCTGATTTAGGTTCCTTTTTTTCTGATTAAGCTCAAACAAGGTTAACCCCAAGTCTACAGAGAGCTTTTTTATTTGATTTTTGTTTTTATTTTTTTTCCTACTTATGCACAAAGAAGAAAGCCCCCATATTCACAGAGTTTATTTATTATTTATTTATGTTTTATTTTTTCTAGTTTGTCATATAAATTTTGATGTGGGTTTTCTATTTATTGAGAAACTATTTGGGGCTCCAGAGTTTGATTAATTTGATTTTGTGTCTACTATGTTAAATTTTTTGGGCTTGAGGTGTTTGATTAATTGATCATTGTTGCTATCGTTGTTGATGTTGTTTTTGTGGTGTGTCATTGAACTAATTTTCTTTTGGTTTTATGAGTTAATAATCTAAGTATTCTTTTGTTCGTTTTGTTTATTGATGAAAGCTTATTTAGGAGGTTGTATTATGCAGTAGGATTTGGTATCTATAAAATTGTGTTCTATTCTCATGTTATTTGATCATATAATTTATGGGGTTTTGTGTTATTTGGTTTTTGTAGTCATTGGGTTGAAATTTATGGAGGAATATCCTTTGCAGCATGAGATATTCTTGGGCTTTTCTGGTTACTTTTGCCAGGGTCTGGGGTTTAATTTCGTTAAGCTATTGTTTGGGTTATAGAAAGCCTTGAAATTGTAGACTGTGTTTACTTCATCATGTATGTGACAAGATCATTCTAGATTGAATTGGGATGTTTGTAATATAATTCAGTTTGGAAGTTGTAAGTTTGAATTGTTTTACTTGCATTGGTTTGTTTTAGTTTAGTTTCGCCTTTAGATGTTGCTTTATGTTGATTTATCTCGTTCTGCTTTGAAATTTGCTCTTTATTAATGCATATTATGCGGTGCACACAATGTTGGGTTATGCTTGTATACCAAGCATTCAGGGTTTTGAGATTAGTATATTTAGCTATACAATTTATTGATGTTGATCTTGTAGCAAAATTATTTGTGTTACTTCTCTGATTTTAACCCTCTCGATTCATATAGTTATTTTTCTTTCTTTGTAATAAATTTTTTTTGAGAGTGTTATCTTTGTATTAATAAAAGATGTTTACATGAAGAGAAAGCTATCTATCGGCATCCCACATATAGGTTGCTCAGAATACAAAGCGGTAGAATAGAGAGAGCACTGATGCTCAGGGAGAGAGAGAGTAAGTCCAAAAAAGGAGCGACCACTGAGTATTCTTGGTATAAACAAAAGTAATACAATGGTTGGGGGAGATAGTAACAAAAATGCAAAAAGAAAATGCTGCTGAGGAAGTCTTCAAGGAGATCTGGTGGAGTTTGCTGTCGGGACTGGCTGGGCCTCTGCTAAGATGGGCGTGATGCTTGTGGGGAGGGCTGCTGGTCCCTGGTTTCAGTAACCCGATAGGCTGTCATTTTAATTTCTTACTCGTCAGGTGTATGTGTGATGTCTGTTTTCTTCCACGATGTGGCTGACCAAAGGTCTAGTAGTAATAGACGAAGGGAAGATGGTAAAGTTGGTGTTTGACAAAGTATTCATTGTGCCTATATGGCATCTATGGGCGAAGAAAGAGTTGAGAGAGATGAAGATGTTCTTTTTTATATTTTTTTAAAAAGAAAATCGATAAAGATGAAAATGTTGGGAATATCCCGAAAGAAAATAAGGTGAAAGTTGGGATGCTGAGGGATGGCTGAGGAAAGATGTTTGGGGGCAAGGAGTTTATGAGAGTACGAAGTATTTTAGATGAAAAGAGGGGCGGAGACCAAACGCCAAGGGAGAAATAGAGAAGTTACGAAAAACTAAGAGAATAAGCTTTTTAGTTTTCGTAGCAGGCATTCTGGAAGAGAGAAGAGGAGAGTGAAGAGGGTTCCTAGTAATAGAGGCAGAAGGGAAAATGCAGAATTGTCAGAGGGATACAGATTAGAAGAGAAGATAAGAAGCAAGGGGTGGAGAGAGGGGAAGAGGAGGATGAGAGAGTAAGAGAAGAGGAGGAGGGGTGAATGTGAGAAGCGAGATGAAGAATTAGAAGAGGAGGAGGGGCGACTAGATATTTCTTGGGCTTGTCTGGGGTTTTGAAGAGAGAGAGAGGGGAAGAGTATACTATAGAGAGGGGGAGGTCAGAAAGAAGAGGAGAGGATGGAGATAAGTTAGGGGTTGGTCTCTGTACCTTGGCCTAGGTGAGCGCCTTCTTTAGCTAATCTATCATATGCTGCATTGGCCTCACGGAAGACCAATTTGAAGGTGAGTGCTGGCATCGAGCTGTAGAGAAAGAATGTGTTCAAATATGAAGTGTAGTCTCCAAGGAGGGACCTATTGATGTGTTTCCCCAGAGGATAGTGTTCTTGGAATCTGACTCTAATATTATTCTGTGAGCTGGGTTTCCCAAAGAAACAATGTACTTGAGGCCTTCCAGAAGGGACATGGCCTTGGCGAAGGTGGAATCTTGGATTCCAATATAAGTTGAGAAGATCTATAGAGTGGTATTAGAGTCTGTGAGCTGGACTCCTATGCCAGAAGGGGTTTCCAAGTGAGGAGCCATCTATTTTGAGTTTTAGCAAGCCAGGTGCTGGAGGGGTCCAGGTTGGGTTGGGTCTGTTATTGTGGGGGGAAAGATTGAGAATGCATTCCCAATTTGTCAAGAAGTGTGAGATAGGGATGTTTGCTAGGATCGGGATTGTTTTGGCCCAAAGGGAGAGAAGGATAGAAATATTTTCGAAGATTGCTATCCTTTGGATACCTCTAAAAATTCTCAAATTTCTCTCTAACCACACACTCCACAATAGGGCTGCTGTAGACAACTGCCAAAGTTTTTTCCTGTTTTGGTGAGAGAGAGAGAGAGAGAGAGAGAGAGAGAGAGAGAGAGAGAGAGAGAGAGAGAGAGAGAGAGAGAAGGGAGAGAGGAGGAGGAGGTAGGAGGAGGTAGGTAGGAGGTGGTAGGTAGGTACGGGTAGGTACGGTAGGTAGG